AATGGCAAAAACATGCATCTGACACCCCCTTCAGCACCACTACCATCGTTGAAAACATCAATATAACCCATGATGAGTGTGTGTGTGTTTTCAGGTAAGGAGATAAACAGAGACAAACCTCTGCAGGAGTTGCGAGAAGGGGATGGGACGACTGGACTGGAGGTGAAAGAGTTCTGTTGCGGTGGTGCTTTTGGTGGCGGCAGCCGCTAGAGGAGTTGGGTGAGCCATCACAGGGCCTTTGACTTTCAGAGAGTCCACCACCACCGACATGCGCATGGTCGCCAAATTGGTGGTAGTGGTGGTGGTGATGGTGGCGCCGGCGACGTCGAAGGCGGTTAGAGGCACTGGGTGGTTGGAAAGAGGAGTTGGTGCCAGTAGAGGCAGTTAGGAGGCGTTGAGTGGGGGAAGAGGTCTGCTGGCAGCGAGTGTGCAGTCCGGGTCTGAAAGATGCGTTTGGGTGGGATATTGCAGCGCTGTTAGACGCCGCCATGGCAGAGGCGGAGACAGATATGGATGGGAGAGTGGGAATGGAGGAGTGTACAGTACTACTTGCACCATCGCCTATACTGGCGCCACCCCGATTGACGGACTCTGTGTCGGAGGCAAGCACGTCGGTTGACCACGCCTCACTGGCCATTGACCAGGTTTCATCTGCAAAAGTAGGGGTATAAAAAGTCTGACTAGAGGTATCTGCATTAGAAGGATTAGTTCCGTTGAGTAAAACTTGGCTTTGTCTATCAATTTGCTACTTGGATACTGGTTTAAAAGCTCCGTATCCCAACACCGATTGCACCCTTCCATCTGGCACTGACAGAGGGCCCAAACGAAAAACCAGTGCAAACATACGTCATGCAGGAACGGCGTCCATAGTGACTGCCAGCTCGGCTTATTCTCTGCTGCAGATGGATGGGAATTCGGAAATTGATTTAACCTTGCCATGGCAGGTGACATGTGTGTTCGAAAATATCCAGTTATTTTGTAGTAGCAGGGGAGTTTTGGCAGATTTGAATAATTCATTTGACCCACTTGCGAAAAACTCGGCGGCCTTGGTTGAATTCAAATCGGAGCCAGGAAGAGGAAGACTTTAGTACTACCAACGGGATAATCTCCTGAGCTACGAGACGCCACCGAGAGCTGTGGGTTTAATAGCACTTGGGACCGCATAGTTTATCACAAGTGGATCAAATGAACCCATCTCTCTCTCCCCCCCC